GGGCGGGAGTCCTTGACCCGCGGCACTCGCCGTCGAGGAGGCCATACCGATGTTAGATGGCCGCCTGCAGACCACAAAAAGCACATGCCAGTCGCGTGCCATGCTCGTTTCCTTCCCGGCACATCTGCACTGACCTGGCGGCCTCGAGGGGCTTTTTGGCCTCCCTCGACATCAAAGGGGGGATACTAATGGTTGGATGTCGTCTTTGTTCGCACCTCCTTGAATGGTCCTGGTCTCTATCAAGGGAATCCACGGCGTCCTCAAGGGAAGCATCTGGTGGGCATCTGAGACTCCGCCTGAGAGTAAGGCACATCAAGCAGCTGGAACTTACACCTTTTCAAGTGTCTTGAAAGGACCAAGGGACGAGGAAACAGGGGACGACCGAAGGGGTATCAAGAACTTGACGATGAGACAGGCCGCCGCCGTCTCCCGGCGAGAATTCGCGATACTGGCACTTTCTAGCAAGTTTCGGCTTCCACGACAATTCACGATGCGAAAGCAGGGCCGGCAAACAGAATTCGAATCATGCGAATCCCGTCTCGACCGTTACGCGTCAACGCCATAAAAAGCTCGCACTGAACGCGGTGGGTTGTTCTCCGAAGAAGAGGCGAAGGCGCTGACGCACCCCCAGACGGAGGAGGCTCCCTTCCTCACCCTGCGGCCGGCTTTTCTCAGCAGGACGGCAACTTGTTTCCTTCTGACTGTCTTTCTGATCCTTCCTGTCTTGGGATGGCGGCGTCGCCTCGGCACCCCCCTGCCCCTCCGTCGCGCCGCAGCGATGCTGCTGACGTGGAGGGAGAGGCTGTCAAGTCCAGATACGGGAGGCGGCACATAGCCAGGGCCGGGGTGATTGCCTTCACGCTGGCCCTGTCGTCCCTCGCCGTCCTCGTGCAGCACGCTGCCGCCTTTCCGAGGTTACAGACTAACAGACGGCAGAAGACAGACCGCTGCTTGCACAGAGCCACCCAGCCCAGCTCTCCCACGTGTTGTGTTGTGTTTTGTGTGTGTGTCGGCGCGGTGCAGTACGTACTGTGAGTCGGGTTGGTTATGGCACGAGGGTCGGTGTTTCAGGAAGAACAAATCGCAGAAAAGCTGGGAGGAGGCGGCCGAGATGTGCCGCAGCGTAGAGGCCACACTCGCCAGCATCCGGTCGCCCGAGGACAACGCAGTCATGTCACTCGTATGCGGAAGGAACTCCAGACACTCCTGCTGGTACACACGGCCGGGAGAGAGAGAGAGAGAGAGAGAGGGATCACTCGCCGTCACCCAGACAGACAGGGACGACGCGGGTGTGCTCCGTGCTGCTGTGTGTCTTGGTGGTCAGGATTGGCTTGAACGACCGGTCTGAGGAGGGTATCTTTGAGTGGGAGGGCAAGAATACGCCCTTCGACTACACCAACTGGGCGCTGCACAGCAGACAGGACAGGGAACCCAACAACTGGCCCAGACCCAAAGGATGTGAGTCACTCACGCCTCACCTAAGGGCGCTCGCAAAGGCATTGTCGAATGCCCGTTGTGTATGTGTGCAGGCGACCAGGCGTCTAAGCCCGACTGCAGCGCCGACTGCGTGTACCTGAAGGGCAGCGACGGCACCTTCAGGGACTACTTCTGCGAATACCCCCTGCCCTTCATCTGCGAGAAGAAGGCACAAGTCACCATGGGTGAGTGAGTGCAGTGACGCGAGCTGAGATCACTGCTGGCACATGATGATGATGGTTCGTTCGCCGCGTGTGTGCGTCGTTGTTGTGCTGCAGGGAGCCGCTATTGGCAGCTGACGGGCAAGCCAGGAGTCAACACGACCCTCAACGTCGCAGAGATCGAGTGAGCCCCCGTGACGCACAGGCACATCCACGTGTATCTTCTCACCTCACACCCCTTTGCTGACCTCACCTGTCTGTCGGCTCTCCGTTCCATTCGCAATTCAGGCTGTATTCCGACACCAACTGCTCCACGCAGATCAAGTTCACCCCCGAGGAGTCGCGCATCGTGACCTCCCTGGACCGCACCAACTCTACCAGCGACCCCGAGCACGCCACTGCCGACGGAGAGGACGCACAGGACCCCCTGGCCGACCCTGAGGCCAACGAGCAAAGTCTCCAGAAGTACAACTCTCTCATCGACAGCGAGACGGGTACCAACCTCGACATCAAATGCGAGCCGGTGACCCTGCCCAGTTGGCTGTCGCAACACGACGGTGACAGCGACAGTGCTCCCGCGGCTGACAACGACACCAACGTGAGGCGGGCGCTGCAGTACAGTGACGCTGAGGATGCGTACGGGTCGGACACCGCTACAGCTGACGAGGCCGACGACGACACCGACTACGACCCGATGAACGTGACGGTCAGGGAAGAGGATTCCTGCTCCCCCTGGGTGCGCTTCGAGTTCCAGTCGCCTGTGGACGTGCGGTGCGTCAAGGTCTACCAGCCGCACCTGCACGTCAACAGCACCTCGGCTGACGCAATGCAGCTGGAGGATGCCTCCCAGATCCCCTTGCAGTTCGCCAAGTTTGACCTCTTCCCACCCAGATGGGCCGGACACACCTTCAACGCATCCACTGCCAACGAATGGACCGTTCTTGAGATACCCGGTGGGTGAACAAAGCAACCAGGCCAGCGCCGCTGTTTTGCGTATGTATCGATGTGTGTCTTTGTTCGTTCAGAGGTGGTCCGTTTCCAAGAGTTCCGCGAGAAGGTCGACACGACGTTCGACCTTATGATTGGTGTCGACGGGCTGCACGCCGAGCGCACCAACCCCACCGCTCGCCTGAAGCTCGTCCGCCGTCTGTTCAACACCCTGCCCATGTTCTGCGGCAACGCATACGACGACCCCATGGCTGAGGGCGTGGGTGTGGACACACCGCCCGAGCCATACCTGTACGAGGAGTCGGTGCCCGTCGACGAGGACGGCAATGTCGACTTCGACGACCTCTCGGCACCACTGCAGACCGTCTACAAACAGGTGTGTTAGTTGTGGGGTGCAGACATGGGTGTGCTGTCGAGTCGAATGAAGGAAGCGGCTCTCTGGGTGTGTGTGTGCAGGTGTGGACGGGTGTGTCTGTGTCCCGCCCGGGTGCGTATGAGGTGTGTCATTGCTGGGAGCGGTGCCAGGACCCCCGCCAGTGGTCCGACGTGGGCGACCTCGTCATCTCGGGCGTCCGCAAGGAGCAGTACTTCAACATCACAGCCAACCGCATTTTCGGCATGGGGCTCCGTGGATGGGGCCTCCCACCGTCGGGCAACGGCATGAGCTCCCGCCTCAAAGTCATCAAGGGCGAGGACTGCGGCACCGACCTGCCCTGGGAGGCCATGGAAGGCCTCGATTGCGACACGGAGGACCCGTTGGGCTGCGAGAAGGAGCCGGCGGTGTGGTCGATATCGGTTCAGGCCTGGACGAACCTGACCATCGACACGTCCAAGGAGCAGAATGCCACCGTCTGCCACTGTCTGGAGAAGTGCGACACGCCATCCAGCTGGAGAAATGTCGGCGTCATCTCCGCTGGCGTGCACGGTCAGTAAGCTTACCCAGCCAGCGAGTCTGAGCCCACGTGGACTGGACAGTGATGCATGCACGATTCTGCTGCCTGTGTGTGTGTGTGTGTCAGACCCGTCGTGTGACGAGAAGTGCGACATCGGTGACTGCATCCGGTTCCCCTTCCCGGGCCCAGACAACTACCACTGCGAGTGCCTCCCAGAGAGCAAGGACCCCCAGTGCAAGGAGATCTTCTCGTTCCCACCACCACCAGGCACACCGGTCGACGAAGACGGCAGCAGTGACAGCGGCGAGGACGACGAGGGCGGCGACGAGTCGGACGAGGGCCCCAGTGCGGGCGGTCCGGGTGCGCCCCCGCCCCCCGGTGCTGGTCGGCCTCACCCCGGTGACATCCTGAAGCCCCCTCCTGAGCTGCAGGATGTCGACCCTGAGGACGACAAGGACTACGAGAAGGCCAAGGAGATCCTCTCTGGTCAGTCAGTCGACAAACGAATAAATAGGCGGACGGGGCGGATGCGATGCGCACAGCTGTGTGTGTGTGTCTGTGTGTGTCAGATCACCTGGACGACAATGACGAGGGCGAGGAGCTGGAGCAGGACATGACGGTCGATCAGAAGACGCGGCCCGACCAGGCCAAGAAGAACCTCCACAACAACAAGCAGAAGGACAAGCCGGAGGTGGCCGGGGGTGTGCCGCATCTCAAGACGTCGGGCGGCGGCAAGAGCACGGACGGCCACAGCAAGGGCGACAAGGGCGGCAAGGGCGGGGACGGCCTGATGATCGCCGGTAGGTGCCAGTGACTTTGGCACTCTGGAGGCTGACCCGACACACACAGAGGGAGGGAGATGTGTAGAGAGAGATGTGGACGTGTCTGTGTCTGTGTGTCTTTGCCAGGTATCGTGATATCGTTGGTTGTGTTCGCTTCGTTCATTGGGGCCTGTGTCATGAGATACCTTTGCTGGTCAGTCAACACAACGGCGAGAATGAACATCATCAGCCCATCCCGTCCGCCTGTCTCGTGTGTGTGTGTCTGCGTGATGTGTGCAGCAAGGACGGCGCGCGGGGTTACTGCATGATCCGTCAGCCGATGGCGCGGCAGGAGGGCTCCCCCAGCAGCCTCTCCACTTCATCATCGCGGCTGCCGTCACGACTGCCCTAGCTAGCTATATCCATGCCAGCGACCGACGTGACGACAAGTAATTCGACAATCTGTGTGTTGGTCTTCGTGTGGGTGTGCGTGCTGTGCCGTGTACAACAGCGTGTGTGGGGCTGGCTCTTGTTGCCGTGTCAGTCGTGTCTGTGGGTATTTTCTGCCCGCCCACCTCTCTGCCTGCCTGCCTGCCTACCTGTCGGCCTTTATGGCGACTGACAGCGCGTAGGTATCATCATGTGTGTATGTCTGTGGATGTGCGTGTGTCTATCGGATGAAGGTGACAATCGCTGTGTTATTTATGCACCACTCCCACACTCACATCCCCCCCCCCTGCTCATGCGTGCAGTTCAGTTCTGTGTGCACACCATGTGGCTGCGTCTATGCGAATTGGTGATGGATACTAAGTAGCTCTGACGACCGTCAAACAAGCAGGGAGGACGATGTGTGTGACCGTGTATGTCTGTCTGTCTGCCTGCATGAGTCGGTCTGTGGCTGCCTCTCTGTTCCATTCTCACGCACAGTATCATCGCAGGCAGGCAGGCAGACACGAAGGAGGGTGGGAGAGAGAGGGAGGCGCCCGACGACCGTCGAAGCCGCGCCAACTCGACTCTCTCCTTTCTCCATGCCGGCCGGCCAGTGCTCACACGTGGCGTGGGGGCTGCTAGTTTGGTTTGCGTTGGATGGCTTTATGTAAGTGGTGCCGTGCCATCATGGGCACATAACAAACTGACATAAATTCGCACAGTGGAGGCTGGCTGGCTGCAAAGTTTTTCCATAGAGTGGTTGGCCTGGCCAGCTGGTGTGCGAGGGACCCTGACGATTATCGATCCAAGGTGGGGCGGGCGGGGGAATTGCGTGTGTGAGTGTGTGTGTGTGTGTGTACGTGGCTGCTCGGCGAGTGGTTGAGCGAGTGGAGTGGCCCCCCTTATTTAACCCATACTTGTTTCTTTGCGGGGCCGTGGGTTACATGCACGTGTGGGATGGCGGGATGTATGGATGGAATGAATTGTATGTCTCTCTGCCTGCCTGCGTGTCTGCCTGTGCGCTGAGATGTTCACTGCTGCACGTATGAGTAGGTGGGCGGGTGGGTGGATGTATCGGCATAAATGGGTGGTGTATAGGTCTGTGTCGTCACGATCGGTCTCCCCCTTTTGATGAGAGCACCCTCCTTCTTCCCTCCCTCCCTCCCTCCCTCCCTCCCCCCCCGCTGTGCAGTACCAATGCGTGTGATTGATCCATGCCGATCCATGGCCGTGTGTGTCTTGGTGTGTGTGTGTGTTGATAGAACCTATAGCTACATCTTGCATCACACAGACAGACCCACTGAGTGGTGTTATTGCTGGTTGGTATTTCTCTGCGTGTGCAGCCAGCCGCCAGGTGGATGGCTGGACTCCATGATGGGTAGGTAAGTGTCTGTGTGCGGGACTGCATGCATGTATCGGCTCAGCCTGACTGACTTAAGTGTAATGCCTTTGTGCCAGCCTTGCAGCCGCAGAGCTGGCCCTGCTGCCAGCCCTCCAGCTAAAGGGCCAGCCCTGCAGACACGTTGGCCCTCAAACACCTCAGGGCATCAGGGACAGGCATGTCTGTCTGGGTATCTACGCACACAGGTCAATGGTGTCTGTCTGTCTGCAGACAGATTGAATCTACCTGCGTGCATCTGTCTGTACGTGTCTCTCTCTGTGTATATCTGTCTATATGTGTTTGTACATTGCACAAAAACACGCAATAGGGAGGAAGGGGTGAACCAGCGACTATTCCTCTCAGAAAGACGGGCGGGGGCCGGCTATGCATCAGCGTGCCGGCACACACACCACACAGGCACACACACCTGCACGTGAATGAACAGCACACACGAGGTGAAGAGGAGCACTCATCACGTGTGTGTGTGATTGTGTGTGTACGTGCCTAATGCTCTTTCTGCATGGCCGCCAGTTGGGTCTGCTCGAGCTGCTGGCAAAGCTGATCCACCAGATGCTTGCGGTCACTGCCGTCGTCCGCATCAACGGGCCGAGTCTGTGCATTGTCCATCTGAGCTGCTCCCGGCATATAATGGCCACCACCGCTGCTGTGATTGTGGTTTGTCGGTGTTGTTGCGGCTCGATTGGCATCCTGACGCATAGATGGGGCGAATAGGCCGGCATGTGCTGGTGGAGGGGATTGCTGCGGCCGCGGGGGCCGATGGACGGTCGTTGGTATATGTATGTGTACCGGTGTGTAGATGTTTGGGTCGCAGACGATGAGAATAGCCGACCACCAATATTGCGCCAACATATACACAGACACACATACAGAAGACCAACACATCCATTGTACTCGACTGCTTGTGTTTGGTTGGACGGATTGAGTTGCTGGGGAGTGGAGGCCGTCTGCTGCTGGTGTGGGTGTGTCTCCTCCGATCCAGGGCCAGTGCATGTCGGGCACGAACTCCGAGTTTGAGACTCGCCATCGTCTTTCGATTGGTGGTAGACCATCACACAATGGGAGAGAGACATAGGCAGAAAAAGCCCTCAGTCAGCCTGCGCAATCCACAATGGCGATGACGAGACAGACGAGAGCGCGCTGCTGAGGCTCAGCAGGGATCGAAAGTGGTCGGAGTCATTGGAAGCCTGGGAGCTATTGCCTGGGAGGGTCTGCACAGATGCTCCTTCTGCACTCCCCCCGAGCCGGGCCTGCGAGCTCGAGTCCCTCTCTCCAGAGTTGACGCAATGGCGTCTCGTACCATCCCCCACATGCTTCGTGCGCTCACAGAGGAGAAAAGCATCGGTGACCTCCTTGTGGGGTTTACGTGTGCTCGAGAGGAGGACCCGAACTCGGAAGTCGACTCGGAGCTTTCTCTCGTCAACGGCAAGGTAGAGCTGTTTCTGTGTGTGTGTCTACTTGGTCTACTTGGTGTGTGTTTGGATGTGTGAATATCAGGCATTCATATCGGTACTCGCCCTTGCGCCGGTGATATATCTGGTTCTGGTTGATGGCCAAGGTCGAGTCGAATCAGAAGACTTATATGCTGCGCGCTGGTTTGCGACTGCCGTAGCTATCGGTGCGCTGGGATTGCTCGTCATCTGGGCCCTCATCCGACGCAAGATGCCCCTCTGGCTTTGGGTTTTCTTAAACCAAGTGTTGCTAGACGCCGTTTTTGTCTCCTTCCTCCTCTTGGACATCGAGGGCCTTCTAGACGATCTAAATTTCTTCGCAGGCAAGGACAAAAGAAAGAGTTGCACCGCGAAGCTTGCGAAGCTTGCTTTCTTGGCTTCCAGGGATGTCGCAGGTAATCACTTTGAAAGCATTCATACACGGGAGATCGGGAGATAGGGAGAGAAGAGACACGATGTTCTTGGACATTCGCAGAAGTTCTGGGGTTGTCTGTCTGTGGAGAAGGGAAGAATACAACCGCATGCGTGAGGTCTCAAGAGGAATGCACTTCTGTTGTCCCAGCGGCTTGGCATGAAGATAGATTCATTGACGCTATCGGAGGGTATGTAGAGAGCGAACCTTTGAAAAGCTGACTCCATATACTCCTTCTCATAATGTGTGTTCTCGTGCTGTTTTAGTTTAGCAGAGGGAGAACTCTTTTATGTGACAATGTACCTCTCCGCTTTGACGGTGATTCTCATCGCAATTGTCACACTTATTAGAGCCTCGGAGCTCCTTTATGAGCTCTTCCTGCTCACTCCAAAGGTAGACCATGATTTTTGACTTTGTTATCTCCTCACATTATACATTAATGCAGCTCTGCAGGAAATGCTGTGGTGCAGGTGATGAAACAGCATACGAGCGCCCTGGTGGAATTGAAGGGTTCTGCGAGAAATTCGATGAAGGCTGCGAAACCTGTTGCAGTTCTATCGGTTGCAGATGGTGCTTGCGGATTTACTTGCTGCTATGGAGTGTTGCCGTCTTTCTTCCCTTCGGCCTCGGCTTCGGCCGGTTGGCTCTAGGTAGGAAACTCATGGGCGGATTCGAGCCTGATAAAATCGAACGCCCTGACTTACGTCCCAAATATACCATCGTAAGGCACGAGTTATGTCTCGCTGTGTGATTGTGTAATATGTTATTCTGAATCTTTGCTTACAGCACTTCAAAGAGAAATGTGCTTGCCCTTTTGCTTCTAGCCATGTCTACGATCAGCCGTGGAAGGACAAGGATATTCGATCGGGTCGAGGATGTCCTGAGTGCCCGACGAAGATTGACAGCAATCGGACTTCAAATTCTACTGAACCAATCCAAATTGAAGCTCCATACTCATACAAGGAAAACAAATATCCTATTCCTTGGAAGCACCGGTATTTAAGCGTGAAATCAATGTACATCATCATACCTGATTGCTGCTTTCTGGCACGCCGTCAGATATATGTGGGATGCCTATGATTCCAAGCCTGGTAGCTGGTTCTTCGAATTGAATTTTCACCTTGATGACGCCCTGGATCTGCGCAACACTCCATGCGAAACCATTTGGGAAGACACCAGTGACACAAAATTGTCAGACACTCGCGGTGCTGATGGCAAATATGCTGTTTCTTATCCTACATATCATTTCATCACAATATGGTAAGGAGACAATAAGAACTTTGCGATGATTATCGATTATGCTCATACCACTTATCAGGGTCCCTGGAGCGCCTGGTGGAGTTGGATCAGGTCTTTGCAGGGCCCATATAAGGTATAAAACCTCTGTCTGTTTCTTGTTTTGAACAGTTTCATTCTCATGTGCTGCAAGCGGACAGCGGCGGTTTTTGGCTGACGACAAAGAACTCACCAGATGGGCTCTTTCGGAGGATAAGAGAAAGGGAAGACGATATGTTAGCACATCGGATCGCTATTCTTATTTTCTACGCTATGATGTGTCTCGACTTTATGATTGGTTATGTTATAGTCATAAGATCAGGGGCGTTTGCTGATATTGTATGACTGTTGAATTGCTGCAAATATGCTATTTGAGGCTGGTGGTGAACGAGGTCGAGTGATGCTGTCAGCCGTATGACCTCACCCACATAACCTCGATCAACCGCATCAGGAATCCCTCATTCAATACCCCTGATTCAGTCATCGCCGTAACACTGGCGTGCTTGCTGAGGTATTGGCGTTGAGCAGACGCTTCGCTTAGCTTGCCCTCAAATTGAATCAACGCCACTTGTGCGCCAAAGCTGGCCCTGCGGCCGGAGGGCTGGCATGTCCGCCTTTAGGGCCAGCCCTCCAGTCGGATGTTTAGCCCTCCAGTCGGAAGGCCAGCCCTGCAGTCAGAAGGCCAGCCTTGCAGCCGCAGAGCTGGCCCTGCGGCCAGCCCTCCAGCTAAAGGGCCCCTCTCGAATGTTCATCACCCTCTGACGTAGCAGCCGGGTGCTTACTAGTGCTTGCCCAGCTGGCCGAGATCGAGACGGAAGAGGGAGAAAGGGCAAGCACTCTGGATGGAGCAGCCCCCCTGAAGATATGAGTCCGTCTGTGAGTGCGGCCCCGTGATGAGAGAGAGGGGACACGTAGATGGACCACGTAGTCCAAGGCAATCATGGAGACATAGAGAGACCGAGCAGGCAGACAGGCGGACAGGCAGGCAGGCAGGTAGACAGGCAGACAGGCAGACAGACAGGCAGGCAGGCAGGCAACGTGGCAGGCAGGCAGGCAGGAGTTTCCTGGAGTGAGTGTCACTGAGTGCATGGCGGCGCGTATGTGTCGGGGTTGCTATTTTTGGTTGGCGGTGTTGTGCTGGCTTGCGTGATCCCGGCGCCGGTGTGTGGGTGGACAGACAGAGAGAGACAGGCTGATGAGCAGACTACAGGATCGATGCAGTGTCTCCTTTCTTGTTGTCATTTGCCATCCATCCATCCATCCAATGGTCCGTCCATTCGTCAGAAGATTACTATGTAATGCCTTTGCAATTAATTGTGCTCAATAACCCCCCCCAATATGCACTCACTCATCGCCATCAGCCCTCACATATGTACAGCTGTAGGTAGGCCGCTGTCCGTCACGTACACAAAGACACACACACACACACACAGACACACACACTTCAAACCACGCACACAACAGCACCACAAATGATTCTTCTCGTGGTCAATAAAAGGCCGCATAGAGCTGGTAGAAGAACAGCTTGGTGATGTAGTGAAGGGTGATGACCGGTGGCTGCTGCAGGCTCCGCATACGATAAAACTCATTCTCGTCCCTCTCCGCCCACTGCGGCCGGGAGGAGTCAAACCCCGCCACAGAGGTCACCTGCACACCTGCACACACCACACACACCACACAGCCAGTTGACGACTTGACGCGGCCCGGTCGGTCCTCACCCCACCTGCGTGTTTCTGTATGCAGAGGCCGATGTAGAGGTCTTCAGGCCGCCCCCAATACTCGGCCCCCACCCAGAAGTCGAGCGTCTCAAGGTCTTGCAGGTAGCAGTTCTCCCAGCCACTGGAGCCGACCCCTCCTGACACGGGGGGCTGGCACATGGTGGCCATCAGGCCCTTGGACATCATGTAACCTACACACAGGCACGCAGGCAGGCAGGAAAAGACAGACACAGATGTGTGTGTGTGTGTGTTGTGGTGGTGGTGGTAGTGGCCTGTGCGGGCGGCATGTTGGTTGGACCTGCTCCTCCGCTGGCGTAGTCTTTGCCCTTGTAGAGCATCCGCTGCCCGACGTAGTACGGCTGACAGACAGGAGGTGAGGGGCACATACACACAAGACATAGAGGCGCGTGTGAGGGAATTGGCTGTGTTGTGTTGATCTGACTGACGTACCTTTGTGTCGGGGCTGTCGAATGCGTTTAGTGCGGCTGCGAGATTGTACGTCACTAAGAAGGCGTCCGTGTCGAACTGTCGGAAACCAACAAGCACATCCATAGATATGTACACAGAAAGCCTCCTCTCGCTGTGTTCTTTCTTTTGCACTGGTCGCCCACCTTGATGAACCAGCTGTAGGGCTTAGCTTCCTCCGCCCCGCACAGCCACATGTACGTCTTGAGCATCTTCTTGTACAACGCCTTATACCCATCTATATCCCCTCCCACCAGGTGCACCTTCTCCACGTCCGTCACCTGGCCCTTCCTCCCGTCGGGAATCTCAGGCATGACACCCAAGACGGTCAGCAGATGGGGGCAGTGCTTGCCCCACGTTCGCATGACCCGCTCTCTATCGCTGAGAAAGCCGTCCCTGTGTGTGATGAGCAGCACCAGCACGTTGTCAAGGCCGTGGTCGACCCAGCCCTCCCCTCTGCTGGACTTGAGGTCCCGCCACTCGTCCTCGCGCATCTGCCCCAGCTCGAGGGCGCTGCTGCCATGTGACTGCTGTGACTTCTCCGCCTCTTCCAGCAGCTTCGCGAGTCCCTCAGTGGTGCCGTTGTTGATGGACTTGAACAGCGGATAGAGGAAGCTCTCATAAGACACAGATACCACCGCCCCACCCCTCCTCATCGCCCTCGACAGCCTGTGGGCCTCGGCGTCCAGCCGGGCTGAACCCATCATGGCTTCCTCGAGCAGCGCCGAGGAACCCGTTTTGGTGTCGGTCGTCTGGTCTGTGGCCATGGCTCTTCGGGCCGCATCGTGTGGCGCCTCCAGGCTGCCAGATGGACGCTTCTCCTGCTTGTTGGCTGCATCGGCGCACAGGAGGACCGTCGCGAGGGCAGCCAGCAGTGCAAATGGGCGAGATTTGCAGCGAAGTAATCGAGGGACGGCCTGAGGGCAAGGACAGAGGGGCGGAAGTGCAGGCAGAAGTGCCCACACACAGCTGTGTATTGCCTGCGCATCTTCATGAAGAAATTACCCCATGGCGGCTGTCCGTTTCTTGCGGCATGGTACAGGGGTCTTATTCGCAGCGAATCCACAAGGCAAAAGAGGTCTGGGGAAAGGGAAAAGGTCGGTTGAGGCGCGAGCTGACGATTGGCCGACGCATGCATCCACCCAACAGATGCCTTCTCAACGAGATGAGTCTGCATTGCAAATCGATGATATCTCATTCGCGGGCCTTTTGATGTTGTCGATGCATCTTTGACGATGGCGTTGTTTTGATGGTACGTGTAGCTAAATGGACCGTCGGCTGAAGATGCCGGGGTACCTGTCAGTGGACGACCTCATCCGCTTCCGCACGTCGCCGTGCCGCCACGTGCGCGACTCGGGGACCTGCAGCCGCCCCGAGAGCGAGTGCGAGTACAGCCACAACTTCTACTGGATCCGGCGGGTGCCCGTGTACAAGAGCGACCGCAACGCGCTGCGGTACCTGCCGCTGCCATGCCCCGACATCGTCCTCGGCACGGGACATGAGATATTGGAGAACAAATGCAACCATGGGGACAAGGTGAGTGAGGATGGAGGGAGGGAAGGGCCGATGTGGATGGACGGATGGGTGGATGGATGTGTGTTTTGGGGGCCTGGTTTGCAGTGTCCCTTTGCGCATTCGAATGAGGAGATCATGTACCACCCGCTCTTCTACAAACGGTGCGGTGCCAAGCAGGCAGGCAGGGGGACGGCGGACAGACAGATATCGTTGCAAATGTATGTACGTTTGTTGCACCCCACCATCCTGCCCACTGTCTGTCTGATGTCGCCCTGCCTCGCCTTGCGCCATTCAGGCATCTGTGCAAGCAATACCAGGAGACCAACGCCTGCTCGCAGTACTTCTGCCCATTCGTCCACTCCCTAGGTGCCAACCCACACACCTATAGATACACAAACAACCCAACAGACAGACAGACATCACATCGCCCATCAATCAACCAGAAACACATCCTCGGCCCTTTTGTTCTTCTGTCCGATGGTGGGTGGGTGCAGCTGAGGTGCGTGCGTTGCAGCACTACACGCTGCCGTACACGCAGAACCTCGGCAGCGGGGTGAACATCCCCCACGTCGAGGGTGTCACTTTGACCGAGTCGGTGTCGCGCAGCACCCCCCTGCCCATCACCCACCGCCCCACCAAGGACGTCACACCGATCGCATCGGCACACCCATCTCATACCACACACACACCGCTCGCAGAGAGCCCCCGAGACGACCCAAATGGATGTCGCACCGTGGCGGAGGCCATGCTGCCGCAGTGGATGGCACGGCTGTCGACCAATGAGGCGGGCGGGGGTGGTGGGTATGGCAGCTATGGGTCTGGGGGTGGTGGGAGTGAGATGCCCAAGGTGGGTGCGGCCGAGATGGGTATGGGCATGGGCCTGTCTGGCGGTGGTGAACTGCAGCCCTTCCAGCAGCCCATGCAACAGCCCATTCAGCAGTTCCAACAGCAGCAGCAGCAGCAGCAGGGCGTTGGCAGTAGTCTGTTTTCCTCAGGGTTTCAGCCGTTTGGCGCTGGCCAGGAGGGCAGCAATGTCAATATGGGCATGGGCATGGGCATGGGCATGGAGGCGGGTGGTGGTGGCGGTGGTATGGCCATGATGGCCAACGGCATTGCCAGCGGAGGAGGGATGGCTGCAGGGTCAGTGAACATTGCGAGACATCGAGACAGATGCTTATCCTTGTCGATTCTCCTGCCTGTCTGACGTCTGACTGTCTGTCTGTGTGTGCCAGCGAGGACGCCGTCTTCAAGGAGCGTCGCATCCAGCTAGAGAACCAACTCAAAGACCAAGCGCAGAGGTACAGACCACACACACACAGCCCCCCATGCCGCACACAATAGTGGAATGACATTGTCTCCATCTGTGTGTGTCTGTGTGTGTGTGTGTGTGTGTGTGTGATGTCTGCAGGTACAGCGTGATGCTGCAGGAGTTTCACCGCAACCACCTGACCAAGAAGGAGCGCCTCACGAATGAGGTCCAGAGCTGCCAGGACTCATACGCGTCCCTGCAGACATCCACACAACAATTGGAAGAAGCCGCACAACAGTAAGACAAACCCACCCACCCGCCAATAGCTAGACACACGCACGAGAGGCATTGGTTTGTATGCGTGTGTGTGTGTGTGTGTGTCGTCAGGTCTCCTTCGGACGGCGCAGTAGCTGAGGGCCTCATGAGCCAATTCGCTGGCAAAGGGTCACCAGAAACACACCCGCACCGTGCTACCCTGCTGTCACCCTGCTGCTGTGTGCGTCATATCATATCAGGTACTGTGAGGCCATGTTAGACTTGGACGACCCCTCTGCAGTGGCTATGGTGGCGAGCAGCATCAGCCACGAGCTGCAGCGGCTGTCCAAGCTGCAGGCAGCCATATACGACAGAGAGGCCGAGCTCATGATAGAGGAGGAAAGACGGCAGGTCGCCGTCAAGCTGCTCGAGCTCCAAACACAACAGCAGCAGCAGCAGCAGCAGCCGCCGCCACCGCAGCAGGCCGGGCCAGCACCACCCACAGCAGCAGAGGACACCCAACAGAAGCCGTCATCAGAGAGCCATGAGGCTGCTGCGGGTGGGGGAGGGGGTGACCATGATGGCGGTGCGGGTGTGACGGGTGATAGCAGCAGCAGCACCAGCAAGGCGGTGGACGAGGAGCAGTCGATGGTGCCTGGGGGATTGGGGTTAGGGCTGGAGAGCTGGCCGCCTCTGTCTTCGGGCACTGCCAAGAAGGACTGACTGACCGACAGACAGACAACAGAGACAGACGGAGACAGACGTGGGAGGCGGCGTGCAGTGGTAGGGCGCCGTGGTGTCCTATGTTCCTGTGTGTGGTGGTTGGATAAAAGTAAGACCTGCATGTATGTTTCCATAAGAATCCATTGTGACAAAAGCTCAAACAGTGGAGAAATGAAATGATTACCAACAGATAGAGAGTGTCCCTCTGGTGTGACCACCACTTGTCCGTCCGTCCGTCCGCCTCGCGACACAACACAGCCTACCCACCCCAGTGACCCCACCCATACACAAGACAGCCAGCCACCATGTGATTGATGTGCACATGACATCCCGGCCACTGACACTCACAGAACGTGAAACACACGCATGCACTCATATCATGGGGGGACGGTTGCAGCCAGCTACAAAGCGAGCGGCGAGAAGGCAGCCAAAAAACCGTCAACCGTCTGAGTGTGTCTTATCAGTCGGCGCCATCGTCATCCTCCTTGATCCATCTGCAGCCAGCGGGCAACCAGGCAGCGCACAAACACACCAAAACACTTGCAGGCAGGCATACGCTGCGGCCGCGTTCGTTCCATCCACATGTGATTGATACCTGACTCGCCGGCCGTCCTCCCACTCGCCAACGCGCTTCTCGGCCTTGGCTGCACACACAGCGACACACACACACACGCAGAGAGAGAGAGAGAGGGGGGGAGAGGGAGAGAGACATTGCATATTGCATATTCTCTCTCTCGCACTGCCTGCCACTCTCGTCCGTCATGCAGGCACCTGTAGTGTAAGTGCCCCTTCCGTGTTGTTTGCCGTTCTTCCACCCCCCCACATACTGACGGCCGTCGGGCCACGCAAACGTACCCTACACACACACACCACCACAGAGGGGGAGACATCACATCCACGGAACGGAATGTGCCTCTGTCTGCGAGTGCGTGTGCGTGTGCGTGCGTGTGTGTGTGTGTGACCTCTCCCTCTTTCTGGTCGTTGACATATGAGCCCTCATAGCATCTGTTTGTGTGAGCCCACACAAAAGAGAAGAGAAGCGTCACGTGTCGCCATCGGAGGGCGTCTTGTCTTGTCTTGTGTGTGTGCGATGGTGTGCGATGCAATGCAATGACCGTACCTCCCGTCTGACCAGGTGAATTTGCCTTTGCCGTGCATTCGGTTTTTCTTCCAGTCGCCCTCGTATTTGCGGCCGTCCGACCACTTGTACACGCCGAAGCCGTGGATGTCGTTGTCGTAGAACGCACCCTCATACACACTACCCTGACCTCACGTACACACACACGTGGAAAAGGAAGGCACATACATGTCTCCCTCTCTTTTATCATGTGTCTGAGTGTGAGCCTCCGTACGTCTGCCCATGAGAAGACGCCCTTTCCGTGTTTGCGTCCGTTGCTGTACTGCCCCTCGTACTTGGCGCCGTCGGGCCACATCTCGGTGCCCTTGCCGTGCTGCTTGTCCTCGTGCCACTCGCCCTCGTAACTGGATGAACAGTGAGTGCACATCACACCCGGACGGACGGCCAGCAATGAATGAATGAGACACATGGTGCATGTGAGGCCTGACTTGCAATGCATTGCATACCGTGATCCGTCGGCATGGTTGTATACGCCGTGGCCGTGTGCCTTGTCCTCCAGCCATTGACCCTGGTACACATCGCCGTCAACTGACAAACCCACAAAGGAAAGGAAAAAGGGCAGGCAGTGTGGATTGATGAATGGATGGATGGGAGACGTGAGCCTTTTACAGTACAGCCTCCCTCACTGGCAGACAGACCGTGAATGAATTTGCCGTTCCCCTGCGCCTTGTCGTTGACCCACTGGCCTTCGTACCGGGCACCGTCAGCCCACACCTGCACACCATAACCATCGCGGACCTCACCCTGTAGGTGGGGCACACACAGCCACACACACACACACACAAAAGAGCAATAATCCCTTTTCCCACCTCGCCGTTTTCCCTCCCTCCCTCCTTTTGTTTGTTTTCTACATACCTCGGGTGCGATGAGCCATTCTCCGTTGTAGACGGCTCCGTTGTCGAATGTGACCTCCTTCTTGAGACGGGTGCCGCCCGCGTCCTTGAGCAACGGACGCGTGTCGCTCTCCATCGTCGCCTTGGCCATCTCCTTGGGAGCAGGCTCTACCTGCACACACACGCATGACATGCAGGTGTACAAGTCGACTCCAATGTAGTATTATATGTCACCTCAGTGTTCAGTTCCTCTTCAACCACATCCGCCACGCCCCGAGGGCATGCGCAATTCCCCATCGCTAGCTGATCAAACCACGGCTGACTGACAAGCACCGCCAAAGAAGAACGATGGGGCCTCGCTGTTCGAGACGCTGGCGGAGTGCGATTGGCAGCCAAATGCAGCAGTCGTCAGGCCGCTTCCCCGCAGAGCCGCCTGCCAGGGGAATGAAGCCGTGGGAAGCCCGAGGCAGCTGCAATGAATCACGCGATGGCTGAATAGTGTGGGAGAGTAAGCAGCCGGGGCCGGGACAACAGAATCTGACTCAAAAAGCGCAGTGTCCCAGGATTCGAAAGAAGACGGGGCGCTATCGCCTTCGACGCCGAGATGCGAGCTTGAATTGCGAGCTTGGAGCCAAGGGGAAAGTGGTCAAGAGAAGGGCATTCCAAGAGACGAAGACGCAGGCAGCCGCTTATCGCCGTTGTCTTAGATTTCTCCTGGTCACGATCCTCTGGAGCAGTCAGGGACCATATATCAGAGCGGCAGCATCATGGACCGGGCGCTGCTGAACCGTGCCACGAGTCAGGACGACGTGCCGACGCCTGGTTACATGTTCAACGAGATCGCCCAGATGACCTTTCTGCATCCCGAGGCGTCCGAGCAGCTGCACGAGTACCTCCTCAAGAAGCTCCAGCGCGACAACCCCTACGTCAAACTGAAGGTCCTCCGCATCATCAAGCATGTCGCCGAGAAGGGCAAGCCCGACTTCAGGCGAGCCGTGCAGCGAAAGGCCGAGGTCATCAAGGCGTGTCTCACATACAGGGGCGCACCCGACCCTCTCAAGGGCGACGCGCCGTCGAAGGACGTCAGGGAGGAGGCCGAGCAGACCGTCAAGGCGCTCTTCAGCGCCGAGAATGCGGGTCAGACGACCGGGCTGGACGCCAGCGGGCGCATCCAGGGGTTTGGGAGTGATCTAGGCGACACGCCAACATACAGCAACGGCCCTGGTGCGTACAACCCCCCTCCGGCCCTCCGCTACGCTCACGCCGAGGCCAGATACGGCGGCGAGAGTTCATACAGGGGGCCATCGTCATTCTCTGCAGGAGGCGGCGACTCATCGGGCGTGGGGATGCCCAAGGTGGGCGGCATGACGGGCTTCGGCAACCCGGCGTTTGACCACGCGCCTCAGCCATCGCGGACCGACAAGATTCTGTCCAACATCAGCTCGGTGGTGTCCAAAGTGCTGCCCGCATCGTCTGCTGTCGCGTCCCGGCTACCCGGCGGCCTACCGGGTACAAGCCGCTATTCAGGCCCCTCATCGATGGGAGGCTACAGCGCTGCAGGGGGGGTGGGAGGGTACCAGCGGCAGGGAGGATCGAGCTACCAGTCCCCCCCCGCCCCTCTGTCCACCAGTGGCGGCATGCCGCCCCCGCCGCCTCCACCCACATCGGCCATGGGTCTGTCGAGGCCGCAGACGTCAGCTCAGCCCGGCGAGTACGAGGCGAGGCTGGTGGAGGATCTGTGTGCGCCTGGAGGAGCCAAGATAGCGCCGCCCGCCCATGCACTCGAGGACTTCTGCCGCAAGTGCGAGTCACTGGATCCGGCTGTGGTGGGCACGCTGCTGGTCAACAAGGCCCAGGACGCGGCCACGCCGTGGCAGAGCAAGCTCAAGGTGGGAACCTCACTCACGCGGCGGCGTGCGTGTGTGTCCACTTGCCCATGTGCATATGTCTGTCTGTCTGTCTGTCTGTCTGCGTGTGTGCGCACATCAATCAGGTGCTCTACATCATGGAGGCTCTCGTCACCCACACACACGCGGCCGAGGGCGAGGAGGCCGAGGAGCCCCAGCAGGACAGTGTCTACACGAGCTACTTCCAGGACAATGCGGCAGAGCTGCTCTTCTCGGCGCAAGAGCTCCCCCAGTGCCGGCAGAAGGCCACCAAGGTCCTCTTCCTGCTCGGCCTCGTCGACGAGAACCCCGTCAGCCCTGCACCGGCGAGGCACCCCCACACCCGCCCACACAGAGCGGCGCACACGAGCCCTGTCGCCGATTTGATCGACATGGACAGCAGCCAGACGCCCACCCAGCGCAACGCCGCACCCACCAGTGCTGCCACCGACCTGCTGGGGAGTGACGACCTGTTGATATCGCCTTCTGGTGGCGCGCTTGGGCCGCCGTCAGCTGTGTCGGCCACCCTGATATCCACCGATGTGGGCAACGGTAGCATGGCGGGGTTAGATCCCTTCGGCTCGCCGATGCCCATAGCCGTCGGGCCTTCGTCTGCGTCGCCAGGCGGCCACCCATCATCGACGTCACTGCTCTCCCCCACCCCCGGCGCCCTCTCGCACCCCTCATCCTTCCCCTTCGCCAACTCGCCTCCACGAGACGCCCCACTGATCGGCAACGGGTCGCTGGCGGCGGAGGGCGCCTCTGCCGACCTGCTGGGCAACGGCACGAGCCCTGAGGGAGGAGCGAAGAGCAGCATGGGGCTGTTTGGGAGTCTGATGGTGAAGTCTGAGGCGTCGCCGGTGCTGCGGGCTACCAGCGATGCCGCGCTGCCCAACCTGTTCGAGGGCATGTCGCTCGGCCCGTCGTCTCCCTCTCACCCACCACCACCCGCGCCGGCCGCTTCTGCGTCCGCCCCCTCCCTCCCACACAGCCCACAGCAGAGCCTGCCATTCGCACAGCAGCAGCAGCAGCAACAGGGGATGGACAGGCAGAGGAGGGACAGCCACCTGGACATCCTCTCCGGCCGCCCCAGTGTGTCGGCGTACCCCTCTGGCTGGGGCATGGGGTACGCCGCCCTCTTCCCCGGCGGCCGGGCGCCTGGCGCACCCGAGAGGCAGCAGCCGGCCAGCGACAGCGGGGCCTTTGCGTTTGTGCAGCATGGTGGTGGTGGTGCATCGGGGGGCGAGAGGGGTGCTGGTGGGGTGGCGCGGTCGCTGAGTAAGGCGTCGTCCGGGACGCTTGAGGGAGCTCTTTTTAAGCTGAGCGGAGCTGACCCAGGGCGGGGCAACATGGACGCATTTGGGTTCGTGCAGGAGCAGATGTCCCGCGAACGATGAACGAGATGAGGGGGATTGAGCGTGGGTGTGGTGTGGAAAGGACAGAGAGGTTTTGACGGCTCCATGAATTTTGCGGCGATGCGATTGCATGCTGGGCATCTTCTGTCGTGTGGACGGCGTGTCGGTGGATGGGTTGGGTCGCAGCGCTGTATATCTCGAGATATACGGTTGCTGAGACTCTCCTTGTTCACCGCCACGCAGTTCGCTCGTGAGAGATGCCGGCAAGTTTGTTCCTCGTGTTGGATGCGCTGTGTTGCGATGCTCACGTGTGTGTTGGGTGTATGCTGGCCTATGGAGGGGTTTTAAGTGTGAGTGATGGGGGTACACACTGCACGGCATGTACGGGGTGCCAACGAACACAACGGCGATGTGACCTTATCGATTCATCGATTGATCGATTCATGCCAGCTGGTTCCCTCACTCAGCGATTCGCTCATCGATCCACTTGAATCGATCCTCACCAACCCACCCCACCCCACCCCACCTACACCATACCGCACCACGCTAAGGGGAAAGAGAGGCACGGCAACAGCAACATGCATGTCTCTTTCTTTTTGTTCTTCTTGACGTGGCCGGTCCGCAGGAGCAATTTCAAGCACATGCGCAGCACGAGCGATGAACATCAATTCTTGGGTGTGGGTGTGACAAAGAATGACCTGTGCGTGCATGGGTGTGGCGAACTGATCGTCAAGCATGGCATTGATGGATGTGAATCAAGTCGACGTACACACATGCATGCAGCGACACATACAACACAATGGCCATTCACATGGACGGTTGTGGTCGTAGCTATCTGCGTGCCCTGCCCCCATCTGCACAAACTACCGACACCCGGCCAGACAGCAAGGGGGAGAGGGAGGCAACCTTCCCCATTCATCTCAATCAATGCCCTTCACACACATTCAGCACGTCCTCAGACATGCACACACACACTCTCCGACAATCTATGTGGGCATCCGCCAAATACCTATCCGCCACTCAGCACTCTACAGAGAGGCCATCTTCTTCCGTGCCTCGTCGTTCTCGGGGAACAACCACTCTGAGACACATGCACACACAGTGAATGAAGCGACACATGCGCAGCCTGCGAGCAAAGCTGTCGAAAGAAATCCCCGGCTCCTTTGTTCGTCGTGTGTCTCCTCTGCAGAGCTGTCTCTTGGTGCTGGCCAAATCGTCAGACAGAAAAAACACGGCCCAGGGGCAGCTGGGTCTCACTTTTCAGTGGCAGCAGGCAAACCCTTCATCCATCCATCGAGCCACTCTCTTACGTATACGCGGCCATCCCCCTGTCTGTCGGCGAATCAACCGACCACACGCAACGAGCCAGCCAGCCAGCCAGCCACTACAAAAATCAATCGACGCGTCCCCACCCCAACCACATACACGTGGTCACAAGGCCCCCTGCGTTGTGGATGGCCGTCGTGTTTGCAACGAGCTACAAGCCCCGTTTGTCGAGGTATTTCCTCAGCGCGGCGGGCCTGTCAGTCATGACACCGTCAGCACCCAGGTCAAAGGCCTCCTGGAAATCCTCATCGTAGTTGAGCACCCAGTATATCACACGCACGCCGCGGCGCTGATAGACACGCACACAGAGAGGAGATGGGATGGCTACTGGATTGATGATAGTCTGTTTGTGCACACATGTACCTTGAGGATGCGTATAAACTTCTTCTGTCTCATGGCTCGGTACGCGAGGCCCGTCAGCCACTGGGCAATCTTGCCGGCCACAAAGACACCGATGCGCCTGACAACGAATCGTCGGTCATTCATCCGATGGATGGATGGACGGATGGCTACTTGTGGAGTGCGTTGAAGAGTTTCTTCCGCTCCCACTCGAAGAAGTGCCGCGTCAGAGGGATCGATATCGCGCTCTCCCTGATTCACACACAGACATACACACGCATGTGCAGAGAAAGGAGGAAGCCTCGCGGCTCTGTCTGTCGGCCTGACTGACCGGAGGTTGCAGTAAGGAAGGTATCCGATCCAGTAGAATATCATCAGCTGCAGCAGACGCAATGGAGGCGATGTCACGGGCACCTGACCGAAGCACACACACATAAACAGACATACGGACGGGTGGTGGATGATGCGGTCGATGCACATACACATTGGTCGTTCCCCCTTTCGCGGCGCCCTGACCTCTGGCGCGAGTGACCTGACAGTCTTGACGTTGGCGTCATTGAAGCTGGAGAGGAAGGTCAGGTGCTCGCGGCGGTACTTGCGGACCAGCTGAATCACCTGCACACACGCACACACACACATTCCAATGACCCCATCAGCCTTCGTGTCGTGGCTGTTCAGACAGGTACCTTGACGACGGTCTCCCTGGAGCCCTTCTCCTTGACATCGATGTGCATCGGCATGGTGGGGAAGCTGACGAGCAAGCACCACACGCACCGATCAGCAAACCTCCCTCCGTATGCAGTGCACACCACACCCACGCACCTCTTGAAGAGGTCCTCGAGCAGCAGATACGGCTGAGGGGGGTAGGAACGGGCAAACCCGCCAAATGTCTTCTGCACATACAACCAACACATATGCAGTCAGTCCATCAGAGCTGCCTCTGTGTTATGTGGAATGAGATGAGTGACTGATGGTTCCCACCACATCGACGTGGTCGTCAGGCGGTGCCAGCTGGTCTGTGGGCAGCGTCTTGGGCAGGTCGCTGAACCTCGTGGCTGTGATGAGGCAGTCTACGCCTGTCATCCGCATAGTGTTGTTGTCGTGCGCAACCACCACCTGCCTACACAGAGCGAGCACAGAGATCATCTCTTGTCTGGTCGTGAGCACGTGAGAGGGTGGTGTGTGTCTGCTGACTTGTCGGCGGTCTGCCACACATCGAGTTCAAACATGTTGGTCTTGCACTCGTCGGCCGCATACTGGAAAGCCGCCAGGGTGTTTTCAGGCGCCTGGAAAAGCAGCAATGCAATGCGATGCACCACATCACGTCATTCGCATCGCACATCATCCCCTTTCAACCCGGCATACCTCAGCGGCTCCGCCACGATGAGAGATGTGCCACAGAGGCATCTTCTGAGAATCAGCCGGCATGGTCGCAATGCTTGCTGTCGCTGGTGTGTGCGCGGCAGAGAGGCTTGTTGATGCGGATGATGGCTGGCAACGGGCGATGAGCGGACCTCGGCAAGGAGCGATGAAAGTGAAACGGCGGGGCAGATCTGTCGCTAATGTGAGACCTGCGGGTGTGAGGCTGACGGTGGCTGCAATGATCCGGGAGTTCAGGCGCATGAAACCGTCTTCGTTCGCAGCAGGACAAGACAACTAACGCCGAACACACGCTTCATGAGTCTTTTGCATCCTCAGCGCGAGCACTTTCATAGCTCGCGCCAACGGCAAAAGTTGTACGTGGTGCATCCTCTGTCCTCCTGTCTTTCCCTCCACCCCGGCTGGAGCACTGCACACACACACGTATATACAACCAGGCCTAGCCGAGTGGAATGCTGCTGTGACTTTGGAAGTGCATCTTTCGTCGCCGGGGTTGTGTGGCTGACGGGCTGTCACGCGGCGGACGCCGAGCGGAGGGGAGTTGAAGGCGCAGGCGGGCAGGCAGACTTGCTGGGTGACTGGGTACGGCAATGTCGGTGTGCCACCACCATCGTACGGCAGACCCCGCGGGGGATGGCGGCGCTGCACCGGGACGACCGAAGTTTGGTTGGACACCTATGGTGTTTTTCATCGCCCTCATCGTGACCACTCTGCCCCTCGCCATCTCACGTAAGGCGCACATCCAGGCAGCGTCAGCAGCACGAGCAGCAGAGCAATGGGCGCATATTCACATGTGTTGCACGCGACGCGTGTTTGTCTATTGGCTGGCTGGTTGATCAGAGGGTGATAATAATGGCCAAGACATGGACACGTATGCGCTGAGAGTGCCGCCCACCGAGATGCCGGGTCCATTCGTCTTTTCTACATCATCGCCATCGCAGTGGACCCAAAAGATCGTCGACCAGTACGTTCGCACCAGAAAGCGCACAACCCTCCCTCCACACAGTCGTAGATATGATGACGTCGGGCGTTTCCTCCTGTTCTGTTTTCCCTCCCCAGCCATGTGGACTTCTCGAGTCCCCACGAGATTCATCGTTTGTCGATCCCGATCCGCTCTTTCGACCGCCGCGGCCCGGCCACGGAAGGCTGTGTGGTGTCCGACTTCGACTCCCCATGGGGCTTCTGCGGCGATCGCATGGACGACTACCTCCCCATCAACTTGACCGCAACCATCGTAGCCGTCGCACAGGGGTTCGAGTTCAGCGGGTGGGACAGTATCGACGTCGTCGCCATGATGGCCGGCCAGCACAAGGAGGGCGAGTTCGTCGTCCTGCACGCCAACGAGGAGATTGTGCAGCGCGGCAAGCCCTTCCGGCAGAGGGGCTTCTGGTTCCTGCCTTTGCAGGTCCTCACCGGTGGCCGGGGGCAGTGGCCGGTGGGGTGGCCTCACAACTGGAAACAGCCACACAACTATGAGAACGGCCACTGGCACTTTAGATTCCAAGTCCACAGCCAACCCACTAACACATCGGTAAGCACGTGTGTGAGCGCCGTTCTTCCGTCAACTTTTAGTTCCATTCTCTTTTCACTCACTACTCAGGTTGGGTTCAACTTGTGTATCGCACAGCACGGTCTGTGCCCCAGCTGCCCGCAGGTGTGCAGCCCCGACCACGACAACACCATCACCGGCGACTTCATGCACGAGTACTGGGAGCACTACTGGAACGACAAAACCCAGAGGCAACAGCAGGAGGAAGAGGACCGACAGGAAACACGCGAGCGACAAGAGAAGGAAGAGCGCGAGCAAGAAGAGCCTGAACGAGAAGAGCAGGAGGAGCGAGAGAAGGAGAAGGAGAAGGAGAAGGAGGCGGCCGAGGAGGAGCAGGCCGAGATTGATGACGACATCGAGGACGAGCAGGTGCAGCAGCCGATTGAGCCCGCCAAGGAAGAGCAGACGAGCAAGATGGGCGACGGCACAGGGGTGATGCTGCCACTGCCCGAGCTGACTAAGCGGGTCAAGGAGCGAGAGCAGAAAGGCCCCAAGCACGCCTTCCAAGTGATGAGGACACCCCCTCCTGCCCCCGAACCCACATCCGAGGAGACCCCTCCTCTACCCGACGAACAGATAGAAGAAGAGCAGGAGGACACCACAGCAGCAAAGGAAGACGATGACATCAACACGGCAGCCACAGAAGAGGAGGTGGTGAAATCAAAGCAGGTCGCCACACCAGCGCCCCCGCCCGTGCGTCCCCCCGCTGCCAGCGACTGGGCTTATCAAATCCGAATTTTGCACGTCGACTACAAGACGGCTGTGGCGGTAAGCAACGACACACGGGGCGCAGCGACCCGGCGCACAATGACCATATCCCCCTTGCTTGTGTGTGCGATGGATGGTTGTGTGCAGAGTCAGCCCCCCGACGTTGTGTCGACGACCAAGCGTCAGCTGCAGCGCGTCATTGCCGCCACTCTGGGCATCCCCTCCCCCGACAACGTGCACATACTCAAGCTCATCAAGGGGTCCATCATCGTCCTTTTCAGGTCAGACGACAGAGGGACAGACAGACAGACAGACAGAGAGACAGAGAGACAGAGAGACAGACCGGCAGACACACGCTTGGTCCTCTGAATGAATGATTGCAGGATAGCAGAGGAGGTGCCTGAGTCGATGTCGATCAGCTCGCCGATGTTCGAGCAGCGGCGGAGCCAGCTGCAGGACGCCCTCACCAATAAGACCTCTCTCCTGCAGCGCACATACTCTGTCGACGCCGACACACCCGTTCTCGCGCGGCTGTCGGCCCTCAAGCTGCCGCCCTACGAGCTGGCCACGGGGCGGCTCTCAGGCGAGGACCTGCCCACCGCCCCGCCAGGCATGCCTTCCTCCGTCGAGACATCTGATGGGGGGGGTGATGAGGGTGCGCCGGGAACCAAGGACGCGCCAGCGGGCGGGATGAGCAAGGATGTCAAACGACCCTCTCCCGCCGCCGCCTCTTCTCCGCTGTCTTCGTCCACTTTTCTGTCTGGACCTCTGCTGCTGCCCGTGTGGATGTGGGGGCTGATCGTGGCGATCCTCACCACTGCGTCGGTGTTCATCGCCTCGTACGTCGTTAAGCGCCAGCGACGGAGGAACAAACGGGGCTCCCGCGACATCTCCGACACAGACTCGTGCTCCACCGAGATGGCTTCCGTCATCCTCTCGCGCGCCCCCAGCGAGCTCGGCGGCGGGATCACCCCGTTCACGCCGGCACGGGGCAGCGACGCGCCCACGCCCAGCCTGGGCACGGGCACCCACACAGCCAAGGAGGGCAAGACGCCGGTGGGCTTCCTCCAGCACACGGCCGCCTGCCCCTACATGAACGGCGACCTGGGCTTCCATCCGGTCGTGGATGGCGTCTGTCCATGCTATTTCGAAGAGGGCGGCGAGCGCGAGACGCCTAACACCAACAGGTCCCGCAGCACCTTCTCCTTCTGCGGCCACACGCCTCGCATCCCGGCGTCGCTCAACAACGAGGACATCAGCACCATGACCGACGGCCACCTGCGGACCACTCTCGCCTCCGTCTTCGGCGTGACGTCCTCATCCAACCTCACTAATGCCCCATCCACGGCCAGCGAGGCAGAGAGGGGAGGGGCCAGCGCAACCTCATCGGGATCTGGAGGCCAGCAGCCACAGCAGCCGCAACAGCAGCGTGCCCAGGCCCCGCGCAAGGCCGACAGGTCGCCGTTCTTCGGGGGAGGTGGTGGTGGCCGTTACGAGGGTGCGGAGGTGATGAGTCTGCCGCCGGTGGTGCAGGTGCCCGTGCAGCACGTGAGCACCACAGAGGTCTACAGGGGGCAGCCAGACACACTCCGGATGAACGCTGTCAGGATGGTGTGAGCGTGTGTGTTGTACGTACGTATGCGTTGGGGTGGATTGCATGTGTGTACGTGTGTGCCGTGTCTCTGTCTGTCTGTCTGTCTGTCTGTCGTGCCGCACTTTTGTTTATGCGGTTTGGCCAACGTCGCGCGCACATTTGCTTTTCAGCAGCTAGTGCGTCCGCACGTCCGCATGGGTGGGTGTTTTTCGCGCCAAGGCACGGCGAACAGACAGAGGCACAGACAAGCAGAGGGGAGGAGGGAGAGGAGAAGGACGGGGTGCGGCGTGCGGTGCATACATGCATGCCTAGAAGGGCAGGCGAGTAATTCAGAATTCAGACAGGAGGGGCGAGAGAGAAGAGTGATACACTGACAGTTTTCTTGTGGCACAGCACAGCGAGAGAGAAAGAGAGAGAGAGAGAGAGGAAAGAGAGGGGGTGGGATGGTTGGTTGGTTGGTTGGTTCCTCTCTGTCGGTTCACTCCGGTTATGACGTATGACGGTTTTGCGTTGCATTGTATAGCCATCCCAGCCCATGTGTGTATACATGTGTGATCCTGCCGGCACTCTGTATGCACACGTGCATATATCCGTCACTAATCGCGTCATAATACTGATCGAAACTGGAGCGACCCATCGAAGGATTTTTCTGCAGGTCTTGCATCCATCTGTCTGTCTGTCTGTCTGTCCAGCGTTTTATGTTTTCTATCAATGTAAGACACAAAGGCTCCGCTCCTTCTCTGGCTCATTCCCTGCCTGTCTGCCTGGCTGCCTAACATGACAGGCAGGCGGACAGAGGGAGGGGAGAGAGGGCAGACAAAGGCGCGGCGCATTGCCGCCGCAGCAACTTTTTGCCACTTTGTTGTAATGCTTGTGTGGTGTGTTGTGTGGTCGGGTCCATCTGCATGTGTATGTGTGTGTGTATGTGTTGAGGAGTAGGTCGATATATAGGTTGCATGTGTACGTGGATGTCGGGCACCAAAACTTGTCTGCACACAATCATAATACATATGCATATTTAAGATGTATGTACATGCATGATGATCCACCCCCTCCCCTCCGCCTTCCCCCATTTCTCATGTGCTTCTCTGCTGCTGTCGTGTGTCGCTTGCTGTCTTTTTCTTTCATCGAAAGGGATGGATGGATCGACTTACTCACTACTTGTACATGTACATGTACATGTACACATACATATACACATACGTACACATGTTTGTGGTGTGAGCGGGGCTGCGACGGATCGATACGCGCGCAACGCCACGCCGCCCCATTCTGAGCGTTGTGAGTGATTGATGAGAACGAACGAATGGCTCTCTCACGAGATCGATGTATGTATGGTTATCTATCGTACATAGGCATCCGTACACATACATGATGACATCCGTACGCGCGTACACATACATACATACAAAACTTGTCTGGTGCCTACTACATGCGATGAATGCTACACACATGTAGTTTGGCTCATGCCTGCCTGCCTGCCTGCCTTCCACGAAGACGCACCGACGAGCCTGCTGTCACTTTGACCACCCACTCACTCACTCAGTCACTCACTCATGGATGGATGGATGGATGCCGGTTGTTTGCCTGTGTGCGCGTGTGTCCTGCCTGCCTGCCTGCCTGTCTGTTCCACTGGCAGCAGGGACCAATTAGACTCGAGCAGAGCCGAGGTCAACGGTCGCTCGCTCGTGAAGTATCAGGTCAGTCAGTCATGTCTCTGCACGTCTGTGTGTGTGTGTGTGATAGTGTTTTTCACAAAAAACGGGTTGGTCCCCTCTTTTCTCTCCTTGCATACACACAAACGCACCATCGAACATGGCAAAGCAACGAACGGACGAAGGGATGGATGGATAACTCAAACGTACGTTCAATTGTGGGCGGCAGTGAGTGAATGGATGCGTGTGTGGTTGCGTGGTGCGTGTGAGTCAGTGAGCGAGTAGGAAGGTGACCGCAATGCAACGCGATGCGACGGTGTGTGTCGAGGGGAGGTGTGTGTGTTCGTGCTGCTGCATTCCATTCATGGGTGTTGTGAGATATAGTTGTCATGACATGTTATGCATGCTTGCTGGGGCTTTATGTGGTTTGTGATTTGTTGGTGCACGTCAGTCAGTCATGTCTCGATCCAACGCGCTCTCATGACTAGCTGCAATCAACCAACGATAGATAATGCATCGGTCCGGCGTAGGGTCCATCACAACTACACCCACACCCACAGAGTATGTGTCTCGTGCCAGCCAGAAGTCACCGATCTAATCTCTCTACACACACAGGAAGGAGACCTATGCTTCAATCCGCCCCTCACCAATCCGCCCCGCCAAGACCCAACCATGACAGTTATTGGCAGGGGGGGAATCTTAAATCATACTCTGCTGCTTCCTCTGGGGTCGCCAATTTCCACTTGCCCAAGCGGTTTATTGAGATGGCCTCCACGTTCAGCTCTTTGGCCATCTCATGCATGGCGTCCAGGCTGGACTCGTCCTCGAGGTCGATCCACATGGGGGGGCCGAAACACCGCTCAGGCTCCTCTGAACACACACCCACACAAACACACAGGGGATGGATGTACTTGTGTCCGAGTGCGTTCGTTCGTTCGTTCGTTCGTTCGTCGGCGCTGTGCGTACCATTTCCGTTGTCAATCTCACTCCACATGTCGAGGTAGAACTGTTCGAAGTTCCTGCCAACAACACACACACACACACACACAGATGGTGAGCATACGTTCGTCGGTCCCCACTTGCTTCGGACCTTCCATCTTTGCAGCACTGCTGCCAGATCCGCTCAAGTGCCCTGGCCGAGACCTCGATGTGACGGAAGGGCCGAGATGCATAGACCTCGGCGAGCGCCTTGATGCTCTCGCGCACAGGGTCGGGGGGTCCGTCGCTCATCGTGAGGCCTGCACACATAGATACATCCCGTCACACACAGGTCAGGCGACCCCCTCTCTGACGTACCAACGTCTTCCAATGCGCTACCCAGCCACGCCATGAAGGTCCCCCTGGAGTCGAGGAGCCCATTCAGTATCGTTTGACCGATGTGGTCGCGCGGCCGCCGGTGATTCGCGGCATACATCATCTCTCGCAGCCGGCGGCTGTCGCCAAATGCTGGCAGCTCGATTCCCCGCAAGAAGCGAACCAGCCGATGCGCCCGAGTCGCCTCAAGCCGCGTCTTGTGCTCAGAGCCATCGGCGGCAAAGGGTCGTCCCGTCCGGCTGCGCAGAGCGTTCACGCGCGCCGGGTGGACGAACGAGGGGAGGGAAGGCGAACAAATCGCGGGGTGAGGTCCAAGTTGGAGCAGCAGGACAAGACACCTAACGCCCAACACACGCTTCATGAGTCTCTTGTTTCATCGTCTTGGGCGACAGAACGGCGCGAGCACGGCTTTCCTGACCAGACGACAGACACACAGCGATAGCAGGCAGTGCACCACGGATGTGCTGTGCTGCTCCGCTGACCTCACGGCAGTCAGAAGTCAGCGACAAGCGGTGCCTCCTGAATCTGCGTCGGAGATCTGCATCAAATATAATGAATCAATCAGGTATCAATGAGCGACTTGTGAGTGCGCTAATCATCCTGTGTATCTCACGCTGTCGATTTGAGTTCTCCCCGATAATGTACAGGCGCGATTATTATTGAAAATGAATGGGGTTTGATGGTTGACTCTTGTGTGGTTGACTTACACGGAAGCATGGGCGACCAGCACGTCTGATCTAGAGTCGGTACGGATTTGCACACACGCAAAGACACAAGCAATCGCAGAAACACATGCGCACCATACGACATGGATGATAGCAGCAGTCTGACATAAACCAAACAGCCCATCAGCAATCACACAAGCGACTATCACATGCCCTACAAAACCACCATGCAACCCAAGCCCGACCCATAACATGAATGGGGTTTGCGAACCCTGAAACCCAAACCCGAACCCTGAGTCCGAAGAATCCCTTTGCCGGCAGATGTTTTTTGAGGGCTACGATTGGCGCGATGGCGAGCACATGGATGGCGATGAGGATGACGGGGCGATGGACGGAGAAGAGGATGACGGCGGCACGCAGGCGCTGCCCTACGATGAGCGCATGGGGCGGTACCCTCACCGCAAGTGGGAGGACGATTACACCTTCGTAGATCTCAACAAGGAGGACCCCGACTCATTGGGAGGAGAGGGCGGCAACCGATGGCGCCGCCCCGGTCAGCCGCCGAAGAAGAAGAACAACACACAGATCCTCATCGAGAGGCTGCAGCATCTAGGTGGGTGGGCGCCATGATATGATGCTGCTGTCCGCCATCCACCCATCCATCCATCCATCCATCCACTTGCTGCATCTTGTTCTTTGTGTGCTGTGTATGTGTCAGATTTCCAGGACCGGTGTGACGCTGCGAGCATCCCCCGCGGACCAGGCCAGAACCCGCCGCCATCGGTGATCCATGTGGTGCAATCCAAGACCAGACAGAGGACGCCATTCCACGGCATAGAGGTGCGCGGGTGCGATGGATGGATGGAGTGGGGTCAAGCTTCATCTCTCTGTCTGTGGCCATCTCTCTATCTGTCTGTTGTGTGTGGCTGTCTGTCTGGGTTCATTGTACAGGTGTTGTTCCACTACCCGCAGATGATGCAATCGCAGGCCCAGATGATGGACAGGATGATCTACGCCTTCACCAACAAGAAACACGCCCTGCTCGAGTCGCCCACCGGCACCGGCAAGACGGCGGCACTGCTGTGTGCGCCGCTGGCCTTCGTGCGCCACTGCCAGACCAGGATGCGCGACGCTGCACTGGGCAAGATAGCACTGAGTAAGCAGAGGCAGACAGGGATGGCGCGGGGAATGGGATCCACCCATCCATCTGTATGTGTGTTGTGGTGTGATGTGGTGTGGTGTGGTGTGTTTTGTCCAGGTCGACAGGAGCAGGAGCAGTTCGCCATCCGCAAGATCATCTACGCCACACGAACACACGAGCAGTGCAAACAGGTCGCCAAGGAGGTCAGTGGCCACACACCACACACGTGTACCCCCACCCCCTCACCGGACCCACAGACCCACAGACCCACATCGTCTGTCTCACCCAGCACCTTACCACGTGGTTCATGGCATTTCCTCAGGTGCTGCGCACCCCCTACCGCCCGCGGCTCACCACCCTCGCCTCGCGCAAGTTCCTGTGTGTCATCCAGGACCAGCTGCGCGACGGCTGGATCGAGGCGCAGCAGGCCAGGGCCAGGGACAGCACAAACACCGACCAGCCGGACGACAATCACGCCCCAGCAGCAGCAGCAGCGAGCAGCAACAACCCCCCCAACACCCAGGCCAACAAGACCTTTCCCAACGTCTACGCGCAGAGCGATAAGGCGTTGGGTCGCGAGGGCGGTGCGATGGCCAGCACGGGGGAGCTGCGACGGTGGTGTCTTCTCGCGAGGAAGGACAACGTAAGAGAGAGAGACGGAATGGGTGCATCTGCCTGCAATTGGGGCATCATCATGTCATGTCATGTGTTGAGACGTGCTCTGCATTGGGTGAGTTGTGTTGTGCTTCAGGCGTGTGGTTTCTGGGATGGTCTGACGTCGGAGGATTTGGCCAAGAAGACCCACTCGTGTCTGCGGAGCAATCGCGGGAAGCCACCCGACGGCTCGCCCAAGGGGCCGCAGCACAAGGACGGCACTTGGGACATAGAGGACATCGTAGGTGGCACCACAGACAGACCACAGTGATTGATACATACATGGATGGATGGATGTGTGTGTGTGTGTGTGCAGGTGAGGTTTGGTTCGTCGCCTGAGACCTACGGCAAGGGTGACGGCGATGGTGGTGGTGTGAGGATGCGCGACCTCTTCCCAAACCTGCAGCGCCACCCGGTGGGTGCGGCCGACTCGCAGGGTGGCGACGGCGACCTCAGGGCCTGCCCATACTTCACCGCACAGGTGACCAGGGTGGGTGGGCCCCTCCCTCCCTCTCTCTCCCTCTCCCTCTCTCTCTCTCTCTCTCTCTCTTTGTTGGCGAGTCGTCATTCTTCCGTGTGTGGTGTGGTGTGTTGGGTCAGGTGTTGGGCACTGGCGACCTATGCGAGCTTCTGCTGTGTCCCTACTCGTATCTGCTCGACCCCAAGATACGCCGAATGATGCGGTGCGGTGACTGCGTGGATGGGTGGATGGGTGAAGACTGACCAATCATCCTTGGTTCATCGTGCGTGTCAGTATCGACACCAAGGGCGCGTTGGTGATCTTCGACGAGGCCCACAACGTGGAGGACTACTGCATGGAGTGCGGCTCTTTCGAGTACACCATGGACCACCTGCGGGAAACCGCCGACTGGTAACCCCACCCACCACCCACCACCCAACACCAAAACCACCCCGACTCTCTGCCTCTCTCTCTCTCTCTCTCTTTCAGGTTCCTGCAGCTCGTCCCCGCACACACCCGCACACAGCCACAGCTCAACATGGCCCATCCCAACCGACCACCAGCGGCTGCAGCGGCAGCAGCAGCAGCAGGTGGTGGCCAGGGCGGCCAGAGCGGCCTCGGCGGGTTCGACGCCTACGGTCCCGAGACGGATCAGCAGCGTCGCGAGCGCGAGGAGCGCGAGAGGGAGGAGGCGGACATCCGGCGGGAGACGTATGGCGAGCTGCCGATCCCCAGCAAAACCGACGACTACTGGGCCAAGGCCTGGAAGGTTAAGGGCCACACCAACATGTAGGTGTGTGCGTGAGCATGATCATGAGCACGACACACAAGGAGGGAGGGGGGCAGGGGGGATGGATTGACTGATTGATGTGTGTGTGTTGGGCTTTTGCCGTGTCACGCAGGTATGACATAGCGTATTTCCTGCAGACGGTCTTCATGCGGATCCACGACGAGATGAAGAAGATCCTCGAGAAGTTCTACGAGGACCAGAAGCACCAGCCCCCACATGGCAACAACAGCAGCAAGAACCAGCCGCCATGGATCCACAAAAAGAGCTTCGTAAGCCAAGCCCCATCACACCAACCACCTCAGCCCCCACACACAGACAGACACAATCCTTCCCCTCTCCCTCTCCCTCTCCCTCTCCCTCTCTGTCAACAGAACTCCTCTCCGCTTGACAGCGGTGACGACGAGGTGCACTGCTGGGGCATGGTGGTCCCGCAGCGCGTGGAGGGGTCGCACCAGTACAACGCCGCACGGCCCGGTGCCAAGGCGCCCCGCTCCTCGATGGCCGACTTTTTGCGGCGTGTAGGTCTGGACAAGGAGACGATGATCAAGGTCAAGGAGCACCACGAGACCATGACGGAGGCCTTCAGGCAGGCCATCGACCGGGTGGGCGATGAGAGAGTGAGAGAGTCAGCCGACGGGTGGAATGGTGCCACTGGGTGGAAGAGTCTGTCTGTATCTGCTTATCTCTTCGTTCTGTGCTGTGCTGTGCTGTGCTATGTTGTGTTGTGTTGTGTTGTGTGTCAGGCGCGCGAGAAGGGCCTCAAGAGTCGCGTGGAGCACATGCTCAACAGATGGGTGGACGTGCAGGTGAGTTAGCCACACAGACAGACGTCAAGAGAGAGAGAGAGAGGACTGTGGACGGATGGATGGGAGGGACACACGCTCGTGTGTGGTGTTAATTGATGTGGTTGGTCAGGAGGATATGATAGAGAAGCTGGCCTTCTCCGTGTGGAACCCTTGCTACTACAACGGTCGGTCGGTCGGCCGGCACACACACACATTCCCACCCCACCACACAACGAACGTGTGCCTGCCTGTCTTCTGTCTGTGTGTCTGTCTGTGGCATGTATCATAATGTGTGTGTGTAGTTGTGTTGATGGGCACGACGCCCGAGATGGGCAAGCTGCACCTCTGGTGCATGTCCCCCGCCGTCATGTTCGAGGCCATCGCTGCACAGGCACACTCTGTCATCGTCACCAGCGGCACTCTCACACCCGTCAACTCATTCTACACAGAGCTCGGTCGGTACGCTGCACACCCACCACCACACACCGCCACACACCCATCCAGACACCGACGTGTGTGGTGTCCACCATCTCTCTCTCTCTCTCTCTCTCAGGCCCGACCTTCGAGCGCAGTGTGACGAGCGAGCGGGAGCGGTTGGTGCTGCAGGCCCAGCACTGCATACACAAGGAACAGGTCGGCGGGAGGGAAGGAGGGAGGGAAGGAGGCAGGAAGGGGCATGAGCATGGGCACACACAAACCGGCCAGGTCGAGAGATGTCGCTGTGTGTGTGTGTGTGTGTGTGTGTGTCCAAACAGCTTCAGGTGCATGTGGTGTCGAACGCGCCAGCCCGCTGCCAGCCGCCCAAGGGTAGCAGGGGCAAAGCCGGGGTGCAGCTCGAGTGCAACTACAAATTGTGAGCATCAACACAATGCAACACACGGAGAGAATGCAGGATCCATGGACTTCTCTCTGCATGGCGTGTGTGTGTGTGTGTGTGTGGCGTGCATCCTTGTAGCTGGCAGGAGACCCACAAGATGGTAGCGCTAGGCGAGACGATTGTCGACCTGGTCAGCGAGATCCCCGGCGGCGTGCTGGCCTTCTTTCCGTCATACAATATCCTCAAGAAGGTCACACACACCCCCACACACCTCAGACAGACAGACAGACAGACAGACAGAAACCACTCCACTCCAGAATCCTCTCTCTGCATGCCATGCGTGTGTGCAGCTTCGTTGGTGCTGGGAGAACAACCGAGCGGCCCCCAGCACCCAGCGCAAGGACATCTGGGCGCGGCTCAAGGACGCCAAGGGCCTCGTACTCATCGAAGAAAAGTGCGATGCCCCCGGACACACACGTATCAATCCAATCGACCGCATACACATTATTACATTTCCTCGCGCGTGTGTCAAAAACATAGGGACAATTTCGACGAGGTAAAGGAGCAGTTCATCGAGGCCACCGGTGCCGACGGCGGGTCGGCTCTCCTCTTCGCCGTCTACCGTGCAAAGCTGTCGGAGGGGATCTCCTTCAACGACAACCATGCCCGAGGGGTGCTGGTCATCGGCAAGCCATACCCCAGCATCACCGACCCACGAGTTGCCAAGAAGAAGGTACCTTCATCCGCACACCCACACACACGGAGGGAGGGAGACAACAGACACATCCATCCCGTCATCTGTCATGTGTCGCGTGTCGCACGTCTGCAGGACTACAACGATGCCTGTCTGGTGCAGCGGCTCCCCCGGGTCGTTCCGCCCTTCACTCTTCCGGAGGCCAACAAGACCAAAGGCCCCGCAAAGCGACCACCCCCCGACCCATCACCCCCTGACGCAGCTGCAGCAGCTGCTGCGGCCGCTGCGGTTCCTGCGTCACCCCCGGTCCAGCAAACCATCAAATTCCGACCTCGCCCGCCCCCCAACGCACCCGAGGCGCCGCAGAGACCTCCACCTATCGTCAACGGCGACGTTCCTCTGAGCCAGATGCCAACACAGCCGTTGCCGCCTCACAATGGCGTCAATGGCGGGGTTCTCTCACCGCCATTCCGCCCCCGCCCCGGCCCTCCCCGGCCGCCATTCATACCACCCATGTCGCTATCGCAGCAGCCGCGCCACGCATCGCAGCCTGACATGTATCAACACAGCCCACCCGTCGCCAATCGCAACCACCCCAACATGCGGCCGTTGCGGCCTGTCCGCCACCCCATGTCCCCTCCTGCTGCAGCAGCTGCTGCTGCCAATGGTGCTCAGATGGTGCCGCGAGGCCGTCCCCCTGCTGGTGTGCCTGGTGTGGGTGGTGCGGGTGTGACGCCGGCAGCAGACAAGTGGCGGCTGAGTGGGACGTTGTGGTATGACCAGCAGGCCTACCGGCCGCTCAACCAGGCACTCGGGCGCTGCATCAGACACCAGTGAGTGAGTCAAGTGGCCGCACACACAGGCAGCCAGGCAGGCAGTGTAGCTAGCATCTTGCCTGTGTGTGTGGTGTGGCATTACAGGCGCGACTACGGTGTGTTAATCCTGATCGACCTCCGTTTCCTGGCGGAGATCCGCTCCGGCAGCAACCCTCAGCTGGCCCCATGGCTGTGGCCCTGGCTGCATGACTGCGCCTTCGCCACCGACGGCAGCACCGAGACCGCCGTGCAGCGTATCGAGGGGTTCTTCGACCAGGCGCGAGCCTACATCGAGCAGCACCTGCCCCTCCCTGCAGCCGCAGCGGACATCCCACCGCTTCCCGACTCTCCTGCAGAGGATGGCGTTGCGATGCGCTCCCAGCCCTCGTCGGAGGCCGGCGGCTTCAAGCGTGAGAGGGACGGGCCTGAGGAGGACAGCAACAAGCGACAGAGAGGGGAGGTGCAGGAGGGAGGGGCGCATGACGGCGTCATGGATGCGGTCATGGTAGACGCTGCTGCTCCTGCTGCCGCGGCTGCTGCTGCTGGTGGTGGCGCTGATGGTGATGAGGCAGCTGGCATGGACGATGGGCAGGAGGGTGGCGAGGCGGTGCAGCAGGTTGGGGCGAACGGCGTGGTAGTCAACATGCAGTGATTGGTGGAATAGAAAGACAGATGGGATGGGATGGGGTGGGGTGAAGAGAGAAGTGGATGGATGGATCATGAGCTTAGACTACGGTCTGTGCCAGTGGCACAGACAAGACAGTGCAGCACAGCACAGGGCAGGTGCACAGCGTGTGCACACATGACAGTGGGGTGGCGGGTGGGTCTCCCTCCCTTCCTGTGTAAGTATGTATATGTACTGACTGCCTCGTGAATGAATAGAATGCTCCAATGCTCTGAATGAATGAATGAATGACTGCATCAACCTCCTGCAATGATTTCGAATGCACCGGTGTTTGCGCCCTCAGTCGTTCGTACGTGTGGTATACACCTGAATGAATGAAATGAATGAGTCCATGCAGAGTAGATCGATTGGCGGTCCGTGGACTGACTGACCCAAACGGTCGGTCCCAAGTAGTAGTTCAGCAAAGAGCAAAGGTCAGGACCGTAACAGACAGACAGATAGCAAATAGGCAGCTCCATCCATCGAGACCAGGCAACGGACAGACAGGTGGGCAAGAACACTCACACACATGGAGTGGACGTCCACACGTGCCACGCCTGTCAGTAGTCATCAGTCAGTGTATGTGAGTGCGTGTGCCTGTGCTATGCGTGTGCGTGTGCGAGGTGGCTGGTGGAATAGATCGCTTCAATCGAAATCGACGTACGTCTCACCCACATCACAGATCGACACCCAGACACACCCACACACATTGGCTGCAGATGGGTACTGTGTACGTGACGTGTGTGTGTCGGCCGGAACGCAGGCAGGCAGGTGCGACAGAGAGAGGGCAGACGAACGAGTCGCGCAGCCCGGACACGTGAAGAGAGAGACATGTCCGGTAGGTTGGTGAAGGCGTACCGTAGTCAAAGGATGACCAGTCAGTCACACTAAACGAGCCCAGACAACGAAAAGCATGACAGCCAGCCAGGCAGCAGTCATTCTACCTACTCACAAGCAAGGCACACGACACGACTGTACCAGATGGATGGCCTCTATCAATCGGTCAAATGGCCATCAAAGGAAATCAGAGCACATCATCACTACACTGAGAGGTCACAAATGTTGAGCATGAGCACTGACTGATGAACAGCCAGCCTCACATGTGCACATGTGCCAGACCATGCCATGCACCCATTCACACACACACACACGCATGGCCGTACGTGTAATAGCCTGCCTTAATGGAGTGAGTAGGTGGGCTATCTCTCTCTCTATAGCGTGTTGGGACGGTATTGGCACTTGGCGCGCCCCTCCTTATAGATAGTACCACTTCTCTGGTGAGTGAATGATGGATCCATCCATCCATCCACCACACAGGTCGGCAGGCAAGATCCTGTCCACTCTCCTATCCTCTCCTTCCACCACTCCCTCCACCAACTCTCAAGGTATCCTTGTGTGTGTGTGTGTGTGTCTGTGCCATCCACCCCCCCCCCCCCAAC